TGCCAAAGAATGAGAAGATGTACAGGTTAGTAAGTGCTTGCGTAACTGCTTCGTGAATCTGGCCCCTGGTAAGTGTTTGGCCTAACCAGTGACGGACTAACCCTAGCAACCCACGTAACCAATCCACACAGGCATAGAAATTGTCAATATTATGGTGCTTTAATATTTACTAATACGTTGCATTTTAAACGGATTGGTAGATACCCCTAGGAAATAACACGTATTTGGCGTGACGAGGGATGGGGCCCCATCCACCATAACTACCACCCCTTCCCTCCCCTACCCCCATATCCCCCTGGCACCACGCATAGGATAGGGGGCTTGATAGCTGAGTGGACAGCGCTCTGGACTCGTAATCCTAGGGTTTAGGATTAACAGTTAGGCAGCTGTTACGGGCTGCTTCCTGGGGGGGGTGAGAAAATTAGTTGTTAGTAATAGTTGAGAGGCGGGCCGAAAGATAAGAGCTCAACCCCCGCAAGCACAACTAGGTGACTACAGGAGGGGTTGAGAGGCTACAGGTGTGGTGGAGGGCGCCTCCCGGGGCAGGTGGCGCCGCCACCACCATCTGTGGCTGTAGACCCAATCACAAAGTTCTGATCACCAAATGGGAATGTTTAGCCGACTGTGGCACGGACCAGGCACGGACCTGGCACGGACCAGGCACGGGAAGTAGAGAGGGAAGGTGGGGACACAGAGGGGCAAGGTGGGAGGGGGTTGAGATGATTGATAGAGGAGGAGGGGAGAGGAAAGGTAATTATCAGGAGAAAATGCTAAAGCCATTACGACTATATAGCACTGGGAAGGGGTCAAGATAAGGATATGGGATGGGACGGGGGGAAAGGAATGGTGCCCAATCACTTGAACGATTGGGGATTGAACGCCGACCTGCATGGCGCGAGACCGTCGTTCTACCGTCCAGCCCAAGCGGAAGAGGGAAGACAATTCAAATAAATACCATAACACGCTGTTCAATTTATCAAGAACTAACTGTACATAAACCAATTTCCTGCCATTTATGGTGGACCATTATGGGGGACAGGATGCCTGTGATGTTATCGAGGCCATGCAGGATCCATCCCACAAGTCTTATTACTCCCAACTTCCTGTTTCATTGTGAGGCGACAGTTAACGGATATTGAAGACAATATAATTGCCTGCATAAAGACATCACATTACAGTGATCCATCGTGATAACATCAGTAGCAGCCACAGTGAGGAGTCGAACCTGCACACAGGGTGCATACCTGCCCTCGCCAGGAGACACAGGGTACGCTAGATACACACAGTTCCAAGTGTAGATATGATAGAGCCCAGTAGGCTCAGAAACCTGTACACCTGTTGATTGACCGTTGAGAGGCGGGACCAAAGAGCCAGACCTCAACCCCCACAAGCACAAATAGGTGAGTACAACTAGGTGAGTACACACACACACACACCGTACCCTTTTTTAATGGGCAGGTGGCTGAGTGGACAACACGCTGGACGCGTGATCCTGTGGTCCCGGGTTCGATTCCCGGCGCCGACCAGAAGCAATGGGCAGAGTTTCTTTCACCCTGATGCCCCTGTTACCTAGCAGTAAATAGGTACCTGGGAGTTAGTCAGCTGTCACGGGCTGCTTCTTGGTGTGAGTGTGTGTGGTGTGAAAAAAAGTTAGTAATAGTTGGTTGACAGTTGAGAGGCGGGCCGAAAGAGCAGAGCTCAACCCCCGCAAGCACAACTAGGTGAATACAACTAGGTGAATACACACAGGGTATAGACTCGTTCCTCTCATTGTTTGCTGATGATGCAAAAATTATGAGGAGGATTAAGACAGAAGATAATATAAGTCTACAAGATGACCTAGACAAACTGAAGGAATGGTCCGACAAATGGCTGCTAAAGTGCAACCCAAGTAAATGTAAGGTGATAAAACTAGGCGGAGGAAATAGGAGGCCAGACACAGGATACCGAATGGGAGATGAAGTCCTTCGAGAAACGGACGGAGAGAAAGATCTAGCAGCTGATATCACGCCAAGCTTGTCTCCTGAAGCCCACATAAAAAGAATAACATCAGCGGCGTATGCGAGGTTGGCTAACATCATAACAGCCTTCAGACACCTGTGTAAGGAATCATTCACAACCTTGTATACCACATATGTAAGACCAATCCTAGAGTATGCGGCCCCAGCATGGAGCCCGTACCTTGTCAAGCACAAGACGAAGCAGGAAAAAGTTCAGAGGTATGCCACTACGTTAGTCCCAGAACTAAGAGGCATGAGTTACGAGGAAAGGCTGCGTGAACTGCACCTCAGGTCGCTGGAAGACAGAAGAGCTCGAGGAGACATGATCACTATATACAAAATTCTCAGGTTAGAGAAGGATGAATTATTTAAGACTGGCGGTACACGAACAAGGGGACACAGGTGGAAACCGAGTACCCAAATGAGCCACAGGGACGTTAGAAACAACTTTTTCAGTGTCAGAGTAGTTAGTAAATGGAATGCATTAAGCAGTGATGTGGTGGAGGCTGACTCCATATACAGTTTCAAATGTAGATATGATTAAGCTCGAGAGACTCAGGAATCTCTACACAAGGTGATAGGCGGTTGAGAGGCGGGTGTAAAGAGCAGAGCTCAACCCCCGCGAGCACAACTAGGGGAGCACACCCCGGCCACCGTCAGGAGACAAGGCACAACAACCATTCCAAGGTTTCACCAACACAAGTGTTCATATACAACAGCAAAATAACGGGTTCAAATGTTCGCGTTCCCAGAGTAAATGACCAAAGTTGGTTCTGCCAACTGGTTCAGAAAACTAAACATTTTGGTGGATATCTAGATATTTTGGATATCTACATATATATCTACATATA